TATATATATATATATATATCGATCGATGCTCCGTGCCAAAAATAAGACCGTTCAAAATGGGGATTTGAGCTGTCAATTTCACCTGTAGAGGTGCGCCCAATAATTATTGTACCATAGGAGCCTTTAAGCATGAGTGCACACATATAATATTATTATACATAATTTAAGGAGAGCAATATGGATTCACGTGATCACCCATACCCCTTAACATAGATACGACCACTGGCTCTGCTTTTGCGTGACTTACACCGTGTAGAATGCTTATTGTTTATTATGTTATTATATAAATAATTATTTTTTGAGAAGTATGCAATATATTAATGAATTCCCTCTCATTTCCGTAAACTATAGTAAAAAGGGTTAATTTTTATGGTTCTTGTAATCTTTATAGCTCCATATAGCTGGTATATTATGGTCGAACGTATTAAATATGCTTCCTCAGTGAAACACAAATGTTGTAAAAACCAAAAGATTCTTTTTGTGGTAGTAAACTTGCCATAAGAATGCAAGTTGCAACTTCTGCAGTGCCCCCGGAATTATATAGTCGATCCCAACTAGTTTGTAGTTGAAGTGCAGTTGTTGTTGTTGTAGTTGTTGTTGTAGTACAGCTTATCACTAGGTTTGGACTTGGAGCCAAATTAAGGCTATACATTGATACTGAACCCCATTTTGCGGTTGAATTCAACATGGAGTAAACCTTGAAAGCCAGTGGCGGAGCCACCTTATAGGAAGGGGTGTCAAATACACTGTCTAGGTAGGTAAAAAAAATTATATGCATATATATTATGTGTTGACTCTTGATTTTCTCGTATGTTTACTTTTATATATTTTGACACCCTTTAATGAAAATTCTGGCTCCACCACTGTTGAAAGTTATGCACTATCTAACAGCTGCAATCCTCTGTTTGATTTGAATGGAATCTTTGATGTCTATACTAGGCATACATTGTTGGGGAGCATGGTGACAGCTCCGTGGCACTTTGGTCGAGCATTAGCGTTGGAGGTGTTCCTGTACTTAGCTTTCTGGAGAGGCAACAAATTGCTTTTGAAAAGGAGACACTAGAAAAGATCCATAAACAAGTTGTGGAGAGTGCATATGAAGTGATTAGTCTGAAAGGTTACACGTCGTGGGCGATCGGGTACTCTGTAGCTAACTTGGCTCGATCAATTATCCGAGACCAGAGAAGGATTCACCCTGTCTCAGTACTCGCGAAGGGATTCTATGGTATTGACGGCGGTGATGTTTTCTTGAGTTTGCCTGCACAGCTTGGTAGAAGTGGAGTTTTGGGTGTGACAAATGTGCATCTTACTGATGAGGAAATTCAGCAACTTAGGAACTCTGCTAAGACCATTTTAGATGTGCAAAACCAGTTGGGAATTTGACTTTGTTACCACAACTTACTGTTGTTTTTTACCATCCAGTAATTGAATTTTGCTTTCTTGCAAAATCTTTTCTGAGAAGGAAAATTGTGGGAAATACTTCGTGATATAGTAGTACATGTTGGCTGCCTACTTATGTGTGGTTCTGACTTTGAAATATATCTTAACAGTGAACTTTGATACATACTCTTCTATAAATAGAGTTTCATACTACATATAAATAGAAAAAGTTAAAAAATTAAAATAGATTGTGGCCAATGAGAATTATTCCAGCAAGCTTACAAAGGTTTTGACCCCCCCTTAATCACTGAGTTATGCTTTTGAGGTGAGGGAAGGAGATTTAAAATATAATATATAGAGGTACAAACCATAATTTTCTGGCGAAGGGGTTCAGGTGAACCCCACTTCCGCCCCTCTAAATCCGCCCCAGGTTACCACACAACATGTTGGCTACCTACTTATTATCTTTGGTATTGACATTAAAATCTGTATTATGAGGATTCATCATGAATTGATAAGTTTTTCGTAGGCTACCAGAGTACCGCAACCCTCCTCCTTTATCCGAGCTTGGTATGACGATGATATAAGTTGAGCTTAAAGAAAAAAGTAATAATTCGTATAGTCGACCCCAACTTGTTTTAGACTATTGCTTGCTTAATGTGGCCATGGGCAGAGTTATATGGTCCCTGAAAGGGTTTTAATTGAATTCCCCTATCAAAAAAATTATATCGTGCAAATAGCATAAAAACAAAATATTTTTGTATATATGAAAATTGTATGAATCCTCTTAACTACTGGTTTCAAGTACTGGTACACCATTTGTATGCATCATCAGCAATCCATCCTTTTATTTTCTTCCTAAATGATGAATATATTAACACCTATCAATGTCAAGAAAAGAATACAAATGAAGGGAAGCTCTAGTTTTCGTACAAACCATCGTTATTTTATAGTTTTTTTTTTTCACTTTTAGCCTGCGCCAGAAATTATTTACATTCCGTNATATATTCAAAAAATAATATATTTTTTGGCTATTATTTTAAGAGCATATATACAATGTCATTTTTCCTATTTTATATATGTGAATAACTTGAGTCTAGTTATGAAATATGTTAGTGGATTAAGGAGAAAAAAAGAATTATACCCTATCTAAACGTATATAACAATTTTCAATATTATTATCACCAAGTCCTTTTAACTTCGTCTATGTGAGCTTGTTCACATTGTCGATCTCAAGCTCAGAGAAGACAGGAGAGTTACAAAATTGTATAAACCTAGTCAATTTATAATGAATCCTAATAAAATATACTTCATACAACATGAAAATTCTCGCTCTTAGCTCTTCACATAGGAGAAATAAAAAGAAAAAAAAGAACAAATGATAAATAGACTTTCCATTACATGAAAACTAAATACAGGAAGCTCAAAATCAAATGTCACATACACCACTTCGTGTACAAATACAATAACAAACTTTTTTACCCGAAGAATTGGATAGAGTTAAATTTGTGTATGGTTCTAAGGATATGTGATATAATTTGGTACAAATCGTATAGAAAAATAGAAATACGTGTATTCTCGACTATGAGAATGAGAATAGTGAGAAGTGTGTATGGTTCTAAGGATATGTGATATAATTTAATACAAATCGTATAGAAAACTTAGAATTTCAAACTACATCCATCAAATTACACAACCATAGCATAAACAATGGAAACTAAAAGCTAACACAAACTACAATATATCCCTCAAAAAATAAGAAAAAGTGAAAGCAAAATATTGAATTTTTCAAGGGCAAATAAAGCCAGATGGAACCTTTTTCCCACAGACATTAAGTAAAAGACTTAGTGAAAGAGGGACATTGAGATTAATCCCAAGAACATTTGCTTTAATTGCAGTGCAAAGGCAAAGGGCAGCTTCAACATCAGCAAGTCCTTTTATGAGAGTACAACAAGGTTTCTTTGGAATATTACCAATTTTAAGGCCAAGTAAATTTCCAAGAACATTAGCACAAACACCTAATTTTAGGGTGTTTTTAGGACACTTGCCTTTATAATTAGGGCTACGGGTTGGCTTAGGCTTTGGTTTTGGTTTTGGTTTTGGTTTTGGACTAGGACAAGTGCCACATGCACTAACAAGAGAGAAAAATAGAAGGTTGACAAGAAGAAAAAGGGCAAGAGAAGTAGTTCTTTTTGAAGCCATTTTCTCTCAAAGTTTAATACTTCTCTTAATTACTATAGTTGAGAAGAGAAGGTTTTGGTTGATGGAAATGGAATTGTAAGGGGTGGATTTTTATAGCATGCAAAAAGAAGATGACTGTGAAGAGACATAATTAAAAAAAAAAAAAAAACATGTTGAATTATTTCTGCTTGCCCAAGAGATTTAAATTAGCTGGCAACACAAGCAAAGATTTCTAAAATCTTTTGGATGCATTTGAATAATATGGCGTCTTGTAAATTGTCATGTTCCTTGCCAAGTCGCGATATATATATATATATATATATATATATATATAGTCAGTGGCGGAGGCTAGAAATTGAATTAACAACCTTACAAAGATTTTGAACCTTCTTGATAGGGGTGTACATCGGTCGGTTCGGTTCGGTTTTTGTAGAATTTCGGTTCGGTTAATTCGATTTTCGATTTGTGATTTTAATAATCAAAACCGAACCATAATAACTTCGGTTCGGTTCGGTTTATTCATGTTCGGTTCAGTTTAATCGGTTCGGTTTTCGGTTTCAAGCCATGGCAAAAATAGTACGAAACAACAAAAATATATTACTTTTTGCAATCGATGCAAGTGCTTCTACTGTCTTCAACTAATTTATATACGTATATATATCTCTAAAAAAATATACATAAAATACGAAATATATATTTTTCTGTTTATGGTGTTGTATCAAAGTTTATGTTGTAGTGTTGATGATAGTACAGTTTGATATGGAAGAGAGAGCTAAAGCTAATGCTATTGGTGATGAAATCCGCTGTTGTTATGCTCGTTTCCGTCACTACCAAAGGTTTATTTTTTTGACCAATGAAGCAAGTAATAAATCAGTAAGCACAATAAAAATTCATAAAATATTTTTTTTAAGAAATTGAAATGAAATTAAGCAAAAATTACCTGACAGAAGAGAGAAGCAGAAGCTTAGAGTAAGAAGAAGGCTACGAAGAACTATGCTTAGATAATTGAAACCCCTCATCTTCTTTCCTTTTCCTCTTACCAAATTGTTTAAGATTTAACACTTCATCAGTATTTTCTAGCAAATCAGCTTTAAGCTATGGATCAAGTGAAGTGAGTAGTGAAAACAAGGAATGTGAAAATCAAGTAGAAAATTCGTCTTTTCGATTTAACCGAAAACCGAACCATTAAAACGACCACCGAATCGAACTTTTTAAAACTATAAACCGCAAACCGACCGAATAAATCGAAAAACCGAAATCGAATAAACCGAAATTTTCGGTTCGGCCGGTTTTTTCGGTTCAGATGGTATTATGCCCACCCCTACTTCTTGACCACTGAGCTATACTTTTGGGTTATGTCAAGATGAGTCAAAATATAAAATATAAAGGTACAAACCGAATTTTGCCTTCTATGTACAATGTAATTTTCCGACGAAGGAGGTTCGCCCCTTCCGCCCCCTAAATCCACCACTAGTTATAGCAAATTAGCATTATTTTGATTTAATATATATGCGTTGGCGATGTAAGATTTTTTTATATTATCTATGTAATTTAACATATGTGTAATTGTAGGTTAGTTAGTACCATTTTTATCAACTTACAAATTCATTCATATACAAGATTTACCTGAAATTATGTTATAAATAACCTGATTAGAACCGATAGTTTGTCGGAGAAGTGTTAATTTTCATCGTTTTTTAACTTTAGCCTAGATGAGAGTGCATTATTGCATAAAATAACACGGGCTTCGTCAATTTCTTTTGTTATTCTTTGGATAAATTATTGCTCGTCTTAAATCTTAATAGGATGTCATCATTTACCTATGTTGCGAAAGCCAAATATATATAGTGTGAATGAGTCACAATTACTATACCAAAAATTATGACAACCACTAAATAATAAACAAGACAATAAGACAACAATAAAAGAACACCAGAATTTACGAGGTTCGACCAATTTTGCCTACTTCCTCGGACACAATCAATATTTTATTCTACTCCAAAATTACAAGTGAAATAATACTAAAGAGAGAAGATACAAAT